TTAGCACACAATGCAGCATATATGGAAAAAGTTTCTAATAATAAATGAATAATAGATGAATAACTTACTTGGGTTTAAATTAAGCTTTTTTTTTTCAAGAAATGTTATTACTTAGAACCAAATTACCTTGTTTTTTCCACAAAACATCATACAAAATGAATGGGAAATTATGGATTCATAAATCATTACCAAATTCTCCTCTGTCCTTGACCTGATGAGGTTCTACATTAATGAAGGAAGAATGGTTGGGAAACAAACACTCAGACCTACCCAGAAGTTTCATGGACACACACTCAGCCCTACTGACATCTTCCTATTTACAACCTTTCCATACGACCTCATTTGGCCTACATCATCGCTCGCTACTTTCAAACTTGCCTCCAGATGTTTCCTCTCTGTGCAGTATGTATCTGTCTAAGAATGCAAGGAGCCATCAGAAGATGTGACCCCAATACCTTCACCCCAGTCCCCAGTGAGCCCAGCTCGCTGCTGTGATGCTTCTGTAGCCATTATTTCCCATTAGTGCCTGACAGCGGGGCCAGTTGTAGCAGTGAGACCCTACGGAGAATCAGGTCAGCCACAGTGCCCCCATCCCGTTGTCTGCACACGTGCTGTCCGACCTCACCTGGACCGTTCTTGGGTGCAAGGTTTTGTTGGAGGTTATCTGAAAATAAGAACTTATGAGTTTGAAACCTAGATTTGCTATAAATAAGTTGCTTTGACTGAATGCAAATACTACAGTACAATTGAGGTTATCTTAATGTAAAACCACATTTATACAGCACTTCTCAAATCTTTACAAAGTGTTTTTCATTAGGGAGTAATTAAAAGAGATGGAGAAGAGAGAATGAACAAGAGTCTGCAACCATGGTAACAACTTTGTGGGGATGTACTTGTACTGGTCATGTCAGAATGCTAACTCTCATTAACAATGCTATGATGCTGATATTTAGCATGTATAATGTTCACCATTGTCAGTGTTTTAGCATGTAAACATGTGCTAATTAGCACCAAACAGAAAGTACAGCTGAGGCTGATGGGAATGGAATGAATCAACAAATAGTTATTGAGATATTTCCGTCTACACCAAAATGGTGGGTCGACCAACAGACCAACATTGCCATATTGTGGCAATATGACAATGTTGGTCTGTATACACTTGAACTCAACCACATCCAACATCTTTGGGGTGAAGTGGATTACCAGTGAATCATGACAATAAAACACACACAGTTGTGTTTCCATCACTTTGTAGGACAGGAGTTAACTTACATTAATTTCCTGCAGACTTAGCCTAACCACCTAACCATTACTTGCCTAATCCTACTACTAACCCTAAACCAATTCTACATCCTAAAATGAAAAAGATTTACGTTATGGGGACTAGCATTTTGTCCCCAAAAGGAAGGCAAGTCCCCACAATGTCACTAGGGTTAGGGTCAGGTACATGTACATGAGTTATACATGTACACTCAGACACACACACACACACACAGTCAGCAGAGCTAATCATAGTTGCAGCATCTGCATCAAGTCCCCTCATCTAATGAACAGATATGACAAGCACTTCTCTCATTGTGTCATCTAATTCATCCTCTACTGTCCTTGGTTTTTTTTTTCCTCACTTGTTCCTTCAGGCTGATTGGAAATAAAATGCAATTAGAGACATGAATTTTCTTCTGACCTGATTTTACAAGCAATTTAAATTCAACACCTAAATTTACTGCATGCACCGGCTTCATTCATTTATGTAACATGTAGCATGACTTTTCATTGTGCAACCCTCCATTGTAAAATGACAAATACATGACTTTTATTCATTGATTCCCTGATAATTAGAAAGACAAAAACAGACACACACATACACACACTCCAGTCTGCTGAATACATGTAAACACACTCAAAATACACACAGGTTGGTATAAACATGTCCTTTAAGCTAATCAACCTCTCATATAAGTCTATATTTATATATTTCTTTCCCTCACGCACACATGCAGTGTGTGTCCTTTTAACCTAATCAATTTGTTTAGTTTACCTCGATGACAGAGGACCTGAAAATATCCTATTGGTAAAATCCTCCTTCCCTCTCTCCTTAAACGTCTGCTTTGGCTCGGTATGATGAATGATCGCTCGGACCAATCAATTCTATTTAGATAAGCTTGCCTCCAGAGAGGACAGAAAAGGGAAAAAGGATGGATTTTTTGAGTTATTCAACACTAAGGCCCAAGGTTATTGTTATTTGGGCTGCTCTCCAACCTGATATTTCTCAGGTAGGGCAGGCTAACACTGTATTCCAGGAGATTAACCTCTGGGAGGTATTGTGAGTACAAAGCAGCAGTGTACAGCATGAGCTTAATGAAGCCTGAGTGCATAATTTACTGACAAAGGTGGGAAATGCAAGAATGTGTGTTGGTTGTGTGTTATTGCAGATAAATTACATAAAAAATTTGTTTTTTGTTGAGAAAAATATTTTTTTTCCTTTCAAATAGCATTGCCTCTAAATGTACATGTGCGGTACATAAATGTATACGTTTCCTCTCTTTACTCTCATACATAAATATGTCTTAAATTATTTTGTTTTTAATTCCTTTTCAGATTAATTCTATGTGTTATTGTATGTAAATTACTTTGAAAGTGTGTATACAGCTGTTTGAAATTGCTTTGTGGGTACAGATAAAGATGTAAAAGAACCAAAACAGATGAAAAGGATGCAATTAAAATATTAAATTAAAATGCAATGACTTAATACGTCTCAGTTTTCTACTCTGCTACTTTCTAGCATCACAAACTCATCCTGAGTGGACAGCCACTGCTCAACCCCACAATAAATATCACACAGAAGAATTGAGAACTTCAACCAAGCAAGATAGTGAAATCTGGGACTTAAAGCAACATAAGATAAGAGATAAGACATTCCTTTATTTGTCCCACAATGGGGAAATTCCGAATATTGCCATGGGCTGTGGTGACACCGAAGCTCTCAGCAGTAAATCTCTCCATGTTTCTTTAACAATAATATCAAGTGTTCATCAACAGCTGTTAATGTGCAAAACCACCCTTCAGTAGGGTTTTAGGTGGTGATTAAACCAGTGTTGGAGCTGATATACAGAAGTGATGTTTTACCCAACAGCTCCACTCAGTGGCTCATTAGCAGTGTTACCTGAAGGGGCAGAAATAACCATCACACAAACACTTGCAAGTTTTTTTTTTTTATTGTATTTCTTTATTTTCAATTATAGGATTTTTTTTAATTGTGGTCCAACAAACTTTCTTTCAGTCCCAGAGAACTGGCTCTTCAGGATCACTTTTACACTGTTAAATATGAAACCATTTCACACAGCCACAGTGTTTATACAATAACAAGATTCAGGTAAGTAAAAAATAGTATGACAGTTACTCAAAAAAAACTTCGTTTAACTATAGTAGTTCCACAGCTGATTCACAGTTTACACTTTCCTTACATAACCCCCTGAGACATAGTGAAGAAGTTGTATGGCTTAGGTTCTAAAGACAGATACAAGTGTTTTCAAGTTTTTTATGTGATTCAGATACCGACTGTCTTTTCCATTTACTTAAAAAGCTTTCTATAGAAAATATCATATATTTTAAACATATTTAATTTTATTAGAATATAACAAACAAATCTAAACTTTAAGCCTTGTGACCCCATGTAGGGTACTGCTGCTGGGATAGACACACTAATATTATTATATACCTTACCCCAGATATGGACAATCTCTGTATTCATATTTATACATACAGAAACCTCTACAGAAACCGAATAAACTTCCAGACTTGCTCCAAATAAGTCCATATTTACCTTCCATACTTCATAAATCTTATAATTAAGTGTGTCTTTAAAAATATAACTCTATAACAAATGTCACTATAAATGCAGAGAGAAAATATTGCATCACCTTCATAATAAAAAAATGAAAGTCCCCAAATTTTCCTGACACACCGAAATATGATAGATTATACCTGCATATTTATGAGCACAATTCCAGACATTTTCCACCACAGCAGACATGTTTTGCAGCTATAATGTCAAAATAATCACATTTATATTTCAGTTCCTCGCTGCCTCTGAAAGCTAAAAGTAGCTGGAAGCTTGGTGTTTACTGTACAGCTTCTTCTGAAAATCCCCATCCTACATTCTTTTGTTTTTGTTATACATACTATGTTTACTTCTTTTATTGTATTGTCACTCTGAAGCAAAACCTAACCTGTAATCAACCGCTACCCTGACTAACAAAGAGCCAAATAGAGAGACGTGGAGATGGCAATCAAGTTTGTGAAGTGACACATTTTGTAGGCATTATTTCAGTAGTATTCCCACTTCAGTCTGCGAGTGTCAGGTGATTGACAGGAAACAGCGACATGAAAACAATCAACACAGTAAAATAAGGATATTTCATTACAATTTGTTCTGTGGCAGCTGACTGACTCAAAGTGAATAACAAATGGTATCTTCTGAAGGAGGAAAATGAGCTGCTGCTGGCATCATTAGTCCATATTTGAAATCACAGAGAAATGATTGAAAGTTGCATTGAAAAACAAACATTGGATGTTAGCTCACAATCAAAAGGACATTTCATTGAGTCTCCCTCCCTCTCTAATTCTTTACTGTACCCTATCAAACAACGGAGACATGCATTAATTGAAAAGCTGGTTTGATTTGGTAGAAATAGTATAACCAGTAGGAGTAATGAGTCAAAAACAGCTTTTTGATTCCTGTAAACAAATGGGACGTACTGCACTTCCTTCAACATAACTGGTTAAGCATATGTCAGTGCAGTGTTAATAATATGGTAGTTGGGGGCAATTGCTTACCAGTACTTGCCAAAAAGACTGGTGAAATATAATCACTGCATGGAAATAAGTTCAAGCAGGAAGGAGGAACAACATGACTCAGCAAGTATAAGAATGCAGTATTTTGATGATGAAGATTTTCATTTCAAGGAGAAACAAGTGGAAAACAGCCAGAATCCAACTTGTACATGGCAAGATAGAATATTAATATTTTCCTTTATTTTGCCTTTTGAACAAAAATAATCACAAAGTACACTGTGAATTGGGACTGTTTAACACCTTGAAAAGAAAGCTGGCCTTTTCTTTCAACATGATTTGGTTTATTTTCTTCCTCAAATCGTGGGACAAGATAAGGAGCAAGGATTCAATAAGAACAAGAATCCATAAGCAGAAACAGAATCGCTAAAATCTAAACGATAACCAACCCCACAATTTTCTGCTTCCTTTCTAAATATTTATCATTAGACACTTATATATTTTTCGTCTGATGGGATTCAGAGTGAGACATGCTATATGTTGCTCTCATAAGACACACTTTTCCGGGAGCCTGGTGCTTGCACATGGAGACACATCTCAGCCTCCTTATCCTCACTGGCGACCGTCTCAGATAGCGTGTGGACTGACACTTTGGTGTCAACGCCACGTCCATCGCTCACTTGTCTTTCAGTTGACAGCAGCGCCTGACACACCTGCTCCTCCTCTCCATTTCTAATGGAGAAGGGCGGGCCTATAGCTTGTCTATTGCCAGTCATCGATGTCTCTCCCTGCTCTGCAGATTGAGGCCCCCGGTTTGTTTCCGCAACGTCCACGCCGAATGTGCGGCAGTTTAGGATAAGTGGCGGCAGAGGAACACTCCGTGCCAGCTCTTCCATGTGACGGGCGAACTCCATGGTCTTGTACTGCGTGACCTTGGCAAGCTCCAGCGTCTTGGCCGATGTGATAATGGGAATCCGCTTGGCGACCTCAAATGCCCTCTGCAGCTTCTCTGCGCCCTCGGTGCCAAAGAACTCGTTGATGGCTTTCTCCGTCTTCTTGAGGTGGCTGCTGACCATGCAGAGCCGGGCCACGTTGAGGATCATGGTGATGGTGAAGGTCACCAGGCAGACAATGACATAGTACAGGCCCAGGCCGCTGTTGGTGTGGGCTACACGCAGAGTGACAGTGTAGTTTTTGGTACTATTGGAGCCGCTGGAGGCGACGCAAGTGTAGCGACCACGGTCCTTAAAGGAGACCACAGTGATGTTCAGACCGCCATCCTCCTGAATCTGCCATTTCCCACCTGGAGCCAAAAAACATAAGACAACAAGACAACGACAAAAAGAGATGCGAGTTGAGGATTGGGAAAATAGGGAGAAACCCTCTTAAGAGCAGATTTGTCATTTGTCATCATCTCCTACACCAAGCAGTTTGTGATTCACTTTAATATCATTTCCATCGACCCAAAAACCCAATTAGTTCTTATTTCATTTCAATTTAACTTAATGCAATTTGAATTATTCCACAAATTAGCACACAAAACACCACCTTATAAGATAAAAACAGTTATGTCAGAGTTGATTCAACAACAACAATATTAGTTTACATGCTTGAAAGCAAATCTTAGACTGATGCAGCATTCATCTGATAATGGTTAATGATGGAAATACTGTTTGCAATACCAGCATTTCTGATACTTGAAAAGTGGACAGAATATCAAAATTTTATTCAAATTAAATTGCAGTGTCTACATTTTATGCAGTTTTTGAGTTGTTAAATATAAAATTAGAACATGAATGTGTTATTGAAATCACCTCTTAAATTATTAAATAGCATTTTGGTATTAATGTGGAAAGCCTAACTTTTTCCCAATTGGTACTTTTGACTGCAAACTCTACCTGTTTGGTTTGTAGAAAATCTTGTTGTCTGTACAAATTGTTGTTGTGTTGTTGTTACTGTGTTTATTGTTCACTGTACTCTAATTTACTGTACGGTTTTTATGTGATGGGAGTAGTTTCCTTTCTTCTATCTTGTCTACTTGCTTGTTGAATTATTTACAACTATTTACAATTTTAGGCTATTTTGAATGTAAAATGCCACATATGCAAAGTTTTGGCTTAATTTATTTGACATTATAAGGCATGTTTATATTAAATCATACACACCTACAAAAGGTCAAGGATAACACAATAAGTCCAGACTTTGTCTTTGCCATGGTGGTCCTTGATGCAAAGTGAGTTATGGGTACACAATGGTCCAAGACTTTATGCATTGAGGTCAAAACTGTCCTTCATCATATATAACCCCTGTTTCAACAGAATGTAAATGACTGGATTTTTGACCTGCTTCACAATGCAATTACAATAAAGTGAACAGTATCCTCACCCAGCAGAGGTCCTTTAGAGTTGTACCACTTGATGTCATTGTGGTCTCCGGTCACGTTACACTCAATGACTGTGTTGGACCCCTCCTTCGCCACGATGTTCCTGCTGGAGGACACACTGGCCAGCCACACGGAGGACACAGCCTCCACCTCTGACCCGTTTTGAGCTGCGTCTGCTGTCCAGCCACAGAGCAGCAGGACTACGAGAAGCAGGTGTGACAGTTGATGTTTCTGGGACGATAACATGTCGAAAGGAGTTCCAGTTTCAGCTCCAGCTCACATTTAGACGAGACAAACCTGCAAAACAGGAACAGTCAACGGTTATGGCTCCTGCAGCCACACAGGACTGTAGACTCACACTTTTTAGTGTCTTCATAATCTGTTAGTCCTCCTGTCCATATTTGATAAAGTCTGCAGTATTTTGTATCATAAGGACATACTACTTAAATTGATTACTTTTTTAATTACATGCAGACATCTCTGGAGTTTTAAAGGTGGAAATTAAAACCTATTTTCAATCTGAAAGTTCAACATTTCTTTAATTTTTGGTTGATGTTTTGCTTTTCTTTACCCAATCACACATCTTATCTGCAATAATATACTAATAGACCTGGCACATGTGTTTTCATTGTGTTAATTTCTTACTCACATTTATTTGACATTATCTTAATTTGATCGGTTTCTTTGACTTTTCAATGCCTCACACTGGTCAGTGTTATTGTCCCTTAAGAGTCAACTGAAAAGGAAGTAATAATAACAATAATGAAGGAATAGTTGATTCATTAGTAGGTCATTTTATAATATGGTTGTTAAACACTGGATACCCACACAGGGCCTACTGTAAAACACCAAATTCACCAAAACCCCAAACAGATTCAGAGGCAGCTGATTCCCACCTGCTGCTCGGACAGCGACCAGAGCATCAGATCCTCCAACCAACATAAACGCCAAACAATGTCCGTAACTTACAGATATGTTTAAAGATATGCCGTTTACTCCTGTTTTTGTCTGTTACTTTTATCCTCAAGTTGTTAGGCGAGGCAAACACGATCCGTCCGGGTCCGTTCACTTCCTGCTTCAGGTATGACTGAGTGGGCGTGGCTTGTTCTAATTCTCCGTGCAGGTAGGTCACTTTACCTTCTATGTCGTGTAAAGCTGATAGAAGAGAGAGAGAGAGATTTATATCAGACACACAGAAACTCCCCTATTTACTGGGAGCGCACAAAAGTAAGTAATTGCAGCAAAATATGTCTCCTCATGCCACGAACTGAGACTACATTTGAAACTCAGATGGATAAATATATAAAATAATTGATTTTTTTTTTATTTTAATTTTAATATATTA